TTTTGCTTTCAATATTTTGCATCTGAACTGACAATCAATCCCAACCAACTGGTGTAGGCTAGCTGGCACAATAATGTTCATTTTCATACTTCAAATCCGAGTGTTTTCTGGCTCATCAGGTAATCTTAATCGTGAATTAAATCGTAAAAGCGAGAGCAGGGAATGGAGATCTTATAAGAGATTGGGGAGCTCAGCTTGACACATATAGTGTAAAGTTTTGACATTAAAGAAAGTGTCACTGTTTTAACTCTTTATGATTACATACCTGACACCTGTATTACTTGGGGTGACGCTTCAAGTGTTATATATAATGTAACACTCGATAAGTGTAACTAGTTTTACACTAGTTTTTTTAGTGTTGTTGTTACGCCCCATGTTTATTGAAGTTTGTCGTACATATTACACCCCCTGTGATCAGGTGAGTTCTCTGAGTGTAAAAAAATCCAACTAAACTATTAGGGCATTGGGAATCGCTCCAGTGTTTTTTCTCTGTTTCTTTTTCAACACCTTATCCGGCTCTCTTGTGCGGGTGTTTACGCCAGAAAAAAAATGGCAGCAAAGAGGCATATCTCGCACGCAACACACACACATATACAACATGTCGCTATTATCAGTCAAAAAACAGTGACAAGGGAACAAGTGACAGACACGTGAACAAAAAACAATCTCGTTTGTTTCACATTTGTCACACTCGTTTTACTTCGAAATTTATTTTTAATTTTGTTTCCCGTCCGGTGTTATCAATGTCAAATTACAGTCTCCATATTGAAAGTGAATGGATTAGTCATTCGGTCTTGATCGAGGTACTCATTTTATGACCCGCGTGTAGATTGATACATTATGTGTTCGTGTGCACAGTGTGTAGGGACATACCCGGTCAATGTACACCGTGCCCATGTACTACACCATAGCAGGCCAGAACAGAAGGGGGCCAGCTGGGCCTGTTGGCATGGGCCTACGATTTTTAGAGGGGCCTACTCCCACTGGTAGAGGCAAAGGGGGGACCCTTTGGTAAAGAATATTGATATTGTAAAGAGAGTCGAGGGGGATCCTTTAGCACAAAATATTAATATTTTAAAGAACATTCATTAACGAATAATAAACATGTATATCATGGGCGTAAATCCCGGGGGGGGGGGATGGGGGATGCATCCCCCCCGCTCTTGAAGGAGGGGGGGGATGGCCTGTACAAATATCTCCCACTGAGATTCAAAAAAAAAACTCCTTCCTCCGTGCCCCACTTGAAAGTTCAGCTAATTATGATAATTTGGAGACATGAGCAGACCTAAATAATTTCAATTACTGCAGGGGCGTGTACAGGGGGGAGGGGTCCAGGGGGTCCGGACCCCCTCCCTGCTCGCGCAGAAAACACATCTGAGGGGGTCTAATTTCAAAAAATTTCTGGGGGAGGGCCCCCCAGACCTCCTCTTCGCGTGATCATCCCCCCCACTCCTCGGTACGGATTTACGCCCCTGATGTATATACCCATACAGAAATCATATGATGCGCTGATTACAATGAAGCATAATGAGCTGTTTGAAATGGGGCCTACATTTCCCATCTGGCCTGGTCCTATACCAGCTTTGCATGGGCCTGCACCATAGATATAGTATACTAGTTAGTATATCTATATGTTTTTTTTAAAATATTCCACACAGTACAGGGAAGCTCACTGCAGTCTCATGGTAACTGCAGGGATGAATAATGGGAATTTTTCACAATTTCCCACAAATTATTCACAACAAAAACATTGCCATGACAATTTAACATGACAATTTGTTATTATTCACCCCCTGATAGTTTCAAGAGCAGATAAAGAAGCCTTCTTTATCTGCTCTTGATAGTTTCCATAAAGAATGGTTTCAGAGAAACGTCACTGAGGCGAAACGAATTATATTAGGAGTATATATTAGGAGTATACACGAATAGAGATTATGTTACTTAGCGGTTATATTACTTACGTGCGCATGAATTAACTGATCATCCGATGCAAAATTAGAAAGGTTGCGTTTGATGGATTCGTGTAGCTGCAGAATGCGCAGTTTTGACATTTTGCAATTCTTTATCACAGTACACGGGTTATTTCTCTTAAATCCACCACCACACATGCGCGCGCGCACACGCGTGCACACACACGCGCGCGCGTCTGCGCGCTATTCGTAGAGAAACGTCTTTTTCGCTTCGTATCCGTATGTGTCATACCAATAAGCCTACCCACGTGGTATACCGTTCAAAGGACAAGGCAATAAAGCTAGCTGTTATGTAGACATTTGCTATATATACGCGACAAGCTGGCGTGTGTGCCCATATATCAGCATGCATATTACATGCTCATATCTTATACACCGACCACCCTCGTTATACACGTAACTGATGTCATTAATAGATTCGTGTAAATCTATAGTATCAAGTAATCTATAGATTTTATATAGCCCTCTCTCGTGCGATCTCTCTCTCTCTCTCTCTCTCTCTCTCTCTGAGAAAGAGAGATCGAGAGATCGCAATGTGACGGTCTCTACTACACCGATCGAGCGGCCATGTTTGAGTGAGACCTTTTTATGAGCACTATTATAGTCGTATGTAGACGTATACGCCCACTAAGGCAATCGGCAGGAACAGCACAGCGCGCGGTCGTAAACTAAGATGGCGGTCGAAACTCACGTTAGTTATTATTTACCGGAGCAATCTAATTTACGGTAAAAACTATCAACACATTCTCATCGTATGTGCGCGTGTGCGTGTCCGAGCAAAAGGCAAGACGATTCTCCCGAGACTTCGTAGTGCGTCGATATATACATCTACGCCTGCAGAACAATTCTCTAGGGGGAAGATTTATAAAACCCCTGAAAGAAGTCTTGCACGCCCCCCCTCTCATCAGCTGGCGTGCTAACGCAGTCAGGAAGAAAGGGAAGCCGAGGAGGCGTTAAAAAGAAAAAAGAAGGCGGAGGAGCTGTTTCAAGATGGCGTGGACGAGTTATCAAATCTTTATCGCCTTCGTCATGGTCATCACCGGTTCAATAAACACGCTGTCGACAAAGTAGGTGAATAATATATCTCGTAACGCAACTAATATTAGGTGGTATATCGATGCGTAGCCTTCGATAATTTGGAACAATTATCGATTCGAAATAACGATTATCTCGACAATCAAGATGTACGTATTCAGCTCGTGTTTTTCGTATTTTCGGCCAAGCATGCGGATTTTTTTCAGATTCTGAATAGAATATTCTGATTAATGATTAATGAGGATGCATGGTTTAAAATCACGTATAGTAATGATTAATTCTAATTACGCTTTTAACTTAAAACACCTGATGTGCGCATGATGAATTCATCTTTGTAGAATTCATCCTTAGCTAAAAAAAAGTGTTTGTCATACTCCGAATACGTTGAATTCTTGCTGTTCGTTTTGAGGTGGGCCGATCTCTCTTACTCGGTTGGTTCAGATGGCACAAAGCGGCTATACGACCACCCGTTTCTCCAGGTACATGTTATAATATAATATATAT